AGAGAGAGAGAGAGAGAGAGAGAGAGAGAGAGAGAGAGAGAGAGAGAGAGAGAGAGAGAGAGACAAAAATAGAGGAAGTGGATGAACAAGAAGAAGAATAAGAACAACAACAACAAATGGAGCCGACGTCCCCACCTGTATCTCTCCCTCTCTCTCTCTCATTGTCTCTCTCTCTCTCTCTCTCTCTCTCTCTCTCTCTCTCTCTCTCTCTCTCTCTCTCTCTCTCTCTCTCTCTCTCCCGCTCCCTTGCACGTTCTCCTCGTCATATCGCCCTCCCCTGCCTTCCGAACGCCGCCTCGAAGTCATCTAACCACCGTTTGAACCACCGTTTGAACCCCCGTTAAACCCCCGTTGAACCCCCGTTGAACCCCCGTTGTACCCCCGTTGATCCGTGTTGATCCCCGTTCAAACCCCTTATGACCGTCGTTGAACCGTCGTAGAAACCCCCTTGCGCCTCTGTCAGACCGTCCGTGTCGTCGGTTCCGCCCCCCCCCCCCCCCTTCCTCCCCTCGGTCAGCGCCCGTCACCGCCGCGTTTTGCCAACCGCGCGAACTCCTACCCTCTGTGCACGCGACTGTCGTTGATGGCGCGCAATGATTCGCAACGAACAACTAAGAAACGAGCTTTTTATGGTCGTTACTTTGTCGTCTGCTACGCCTCCTGCACGTCGTCTTCTACAGTGCTGTAGAAAACAGTCTGCGTGACACGATGTCGTCGCTCTGGGCCCCCTCCGTATGCAAAACACCCCCCGCCCCCCCCCTTTCCAATTCGAAAATGGTCCTTGACAGTCGTTGTAATTTTTTTTTAGTGTGTTTATAGTGTTTTTTAGTTTTTTTTTTCTCTATACCACTAAAAGATACAAAGGGCCCGACGACACGGTCGGTCGCGGGCCCAAGGGAAACTGCAGGAGGGAGCCAACAGGGCAGTGGAACCGGTGCGGGGATGAGGGCGAGGCGGGAACTGGGCAGCGGCCAGTGGAAACAGAGGTGAAATTACGCAGGGCGGAACCGAGCAGGGGACCTGGTGCAGAGGCGAGGGACGGAACGCGTTCCCGAAACTGCAGGGGGTCCAGGCAGGGGAGTTGGTGCAGGGGCGGGGCCCAGGCGAGGGACGGACGAGTTCCCGAAACTGCAGGACGCAGACCCGGGCCATTCAACGAAATCGGTGCCACGCGTTTTACCGGTCCGACGCCGCAAGCTATGCCGGGGGGGGAACTGGTCCGACGAGGCATACCCGTCGAATGGCCTTCCATTCCCCCCCCCCCCGACATAGCTTGCCGCGTCGCAGCATACCCGTCCGACCGGCAAGCTGTGGCGGGGGAGCGGAACCGGTCCGACGCGGCAAGCTGTGTGTGGGGGGGGGAACTGGAAGGCCATTCGACGAAATCGGTGCCGCGCGGCATACCCGTCCAACGCGGCAAGCTGAGATGTGGTATGTGATGGAGGAGGATAGGGGATGGAGGCCGGAGGAGGAGGAAGGAGCATGGTAGCCATGGATCATGACAGGGAGGACGCGCGCGCGCGCGCGCGCGCGCGCGCGAGAGAGAGAGAGAGAGAGAGAGAGAGAGAGAGAGAGAGAGAGAGAGTGTATATTTTGATGTTCTAGTGGAAGATTCATTCGATTTTGCTCATCGTGTGTGTGTGTGCGTGTGTGTGTGTGTGTGTGTGTGTGCGTGTGTGTGTGTGTGTGTGTGTGTGTGTGTGAGAGAGAGAGA